TCTCTCATGCTCTGTGTTCTGCATTATTTAGAGTTCTATATACTCGCATCTGTTATTTGCTAAAACAGACTGATGTAAACTAAACACTAAAAATATTCACCTGTAAAATGTTTTTTAAAACAAACCAAGGACAAATACACTGCTAATGTAAAGATTAAAGACTTGCACACACAGCAAGGCAAATTAAAGATATGCAGAGTAGTTTGTGGCATGAAATTGTGTACACATACACTCGCACACACCATATGAGAGCCTTTACCGTCATAGATTAAGGGTCAAATTGCTTCAGTTACAGTCATTTAGATGCTCTATAGATAAGGCCCTTTGCTTTAATTCCCTTCCTGTAAGGCATTGTACTTTCAGCAGCTCTTGTTCCAAGGGAAATGAGGTTACAGCTCATCATAACACTACTCTTTCCACTACTGCTAGCCTGATTACTGCTTTCAACCCAAGCGCAAACACCATACAATCATGTGCTTTTTGGATGCCTAGCGTCTGTTCTTACCTTTAAAAAAGACGAACTTGCCCTCGCTGTTCTCGTAGACGGCGTCTATCTTGGCCGGCAGACCCCTCCAGAACACGTTGATGAGCATGGGATAGCCTGGCATTACTGTGTTGTCTCTGACCCTCCAAAACCAGTGATCCTAAAAGAGAGATGCAGTGCAACACAGTCAAACAAGCTATCAAGAGAAATGCAGACAAGGCAATCCATCAGAAACACAGCCAGTCATGATGAAAGTAAGGATTTCTAACATTTCTGCATTATAGTGCTGTTTTTGAGGCCCCAGACCATCTCATTAACACTCCAGACTGCTGTGCAGTGCCAGGGATGTGTACATTCTCCCAGTGGTCCCCTCCCGGTGGAGTTTCATCTAGTCTGACCTCATTAGAGCAGAGCTGCTCTCTTAAATGAGTGGGGAGCCCACGTGACACTTATTATCACTTCCGTTACAGGAGGGAGGTTGTCACATAACACCCATCACTCCTGATAAACACAGTGAAATATGAGACCTAGACGAGATGAAATGAGAGGAACTAATAGGTTGGTTTTTTTAAAGCTGGGACTCATCCGTACCCCCTTTGACGAGTTACGAGATGTGACAGCTTTGAGATGATGCTGTCAGTGCTCATTGGTATGCTGTGTTGGATGACTTGGGTGTCCCAGCAACATGAGCCAAGTGGTTGCCAAACGCAAACTATACGAAGTCACACCGTATAGCTTACTTTACATTAAATCTTAATGGGGTTGGCGCTGACCTGCAGTTGAATTTCCCTGCTGTTAATATTAAACATAATTGAGAGAAGGCTATCAGATTGGTGCTTACCAATAACATAAAATGCACTTTGAACCAAATTAACTAATACTAAGGTCACTTGGGAATTTCTTAACACTTAGCAGGCAGTTATTTCCTTAACTCAAATTTCTGTGAAAAAGGGCTCCTTAACAAGACAGACTGCACAAAATCAGTTGGATTTGGAAGTTGGAAGTCGGTTATTAACTTGCCAAAGCCTTTTATTACCCTTTATGCTGGTTTCCTTTATTCAATTTACAAAAAAAAAAAAGGTCTGTATGAGCAAATACAAAAAGATGTTTTGATTTGACCCTGCGCCACTGAGTGAAAAGCTTCTTTAAAGGTGTGCTTTGTCATCAAGTCTTTCAGTAACCTTAAGATATGAGGTGTGAGCCAAGACTCACAGGAAGGGCACTAAGCTGGAGAAGCCATTACGGCTCAGATACATGCCGCACCCTCAGGCTCACTTCAGGCAGCCACGGCACTGGAATACAGTGTACACAGCAGTAGGGCTCACTTCCAGTCTTAGTCGAAGAAGTAAGTCTGTAATCTGTAAGTAAAACTGATCTAAATGCTATTAAACTACAGGAAAAGGCAGAGGAAAGAGAAAGAGGGAGAGGGAGAAACTTTTCATGAAACAGCAACCCCACACCCATCACTGAACTCTTAACTCTTTTACTTGCACGCACAGCGTACGCACACTCCAGTGATCTGTGTCCTCTGGTGCAGCTGTTGGACAGAAAACCCCTCCTAGCCCCCAGTGCGCCTCAAAAGCACTGATTGATTTCAGTTGTTCAGCGTTTTCTCTCATATGACACGCCGGTGTAATTGAAAACAGATCAAACTGTGAAATCAGAACCATTTTCTTTCTTTCCTGTCTGTAAAGAGAAAATGTAGTGCCTCCCTTCCTCCCTCCCTCGAAGTACTGAGCCAGACCGTGATGAGGACAAATTCAGCTGGCACTCACTAATCAGGCACCCGCAGTAACAACACTAACCTTTTCAAAAAGAGGCAGCCTTTCTGGACGCACAATACAAATCATTTCATTATTCCTTTGTTTAGAGCACCCTGGCTGCAATTCCCCAGCCAGTGGCTTTATAATCTGTCTCGCAAATTCAGAGAAACTGAGAACCGGTGCCTGTCTGTCCGCCACAATAAACCGGCTTGTAGTTTATGTGCATGCACACAAGAACAGAGTTTGGAAACAGAGTGAGAGAGAGAGAGAGAGAGAGAGAAAGAAATACAGAGACAGAAACACAAAAAGAGACAGAAAGAGACTGAAACACAACAAAGGGGCAAACACTCATGAGGGTTTGCTCCAGTGCCGTTCATCTCTGTACATAAACATTAATTTGAAGCATGCATATTGATTGCAGATTAAATCTAACACTATGTTCACACTAGCAAGCAAGGAGTCACTTGTGTCTCTTCTTTGTCTCTTGCTGATGTGTAATGGCTACTACTCGTGTCACTCTTGAGTGTGCACTGTCAAGTGTTTTTTTAAAAAGTTGTGTTAAGAAATGGTAGTAGCCAAAATGTACATGCGTATAACGCTAACTTGTTTGTTTAATTGACGTTACATGCCTATGGCTTATTAGCAATCCAACTATACTAACTATACACACTCGTCAAAGGCACCGACTACCTCTGCCTAGCATCACACATAATTTGGATAGAACTGCGCTGTTGTTGCTTGCCACTGTTGCTGAAATTACAGCTCCACAAACTTGAAACAGTAAATGAATGCTTGCCTGCTCTGTTGCTTGCTAGCGTGGATATAGGAAAAGGCACTACAGGCACCCTAACAAGCACAAAGGGTAGTTTGCACAGGAGAAGCCATGTCAGGCCTGCAGAAGTGTGCCT